AGGGATTCGCTGGTGGTCACCCACCCAACTACTAACCTCCCGGCGTGTGGCTTAAGTACGGCTGAGCGGACGGGAAGCCCTGTTTTCCACACCCTGTGGTCGTATGTACTCAAATTAATATTTATGTTACTAATATACTTCATTTTTTACCTGCATTCACTGATGTTTGAACGTGACGGTAGTCACTACTACCTCTGCAAACCAGTACTAGCCTGGTCTCACAGTGAATACAGGATTTGATCACTCCTGTTAGGGAAGAAGCATCATTAGCGTTCCCCCTTCGCGGCAAAGTATATCTATCCTCTCATCCCACGCCCCGGACCCTCACGTATGCTTCACAGAATCATCTATCGAAGCTTCAATCAACATGATGGGCCAGACGTGCGTTCAAGGAACCCCTTCAAAAAAGCTAACTGGTGCTGCAGCAGAAGCTGCAGCTAAGGTCAATAAGCTTCTTCTACACGAATTTAATGTGAGGGTTAGCAATAACCCCTCTACGAATTTGGAGGAGTTGATAAAGTTCAAGCTCAAAACCTATCCCCTTCTTCGTCAAGTTTTTGTGGACTCGGCTGTGAAGGCTGAATCAACAAAGGGCACTGACACCCAGTCCGGTCCTCCACCGGCTGTAAGAGAGAAATTTCTAATTCCCTCGGATGTTGTCGTCATACATCCTTTGAGTATGGCTGTTACTCGTGCAGCCCAGTAAGTCTCAACTTGCGCTGGTGACTCTTCCGAGATTTCGAGCACGATTAGACGTCTCAATGATCTGATCTTAAACAGTGACATACTATGGCATTTTGGATCGACCGCAGTACTAGGCCTTACCCCAAACCTTGCTCTGAAACTCGGCACTTACATTGATGTGGATCATCTGGCAATGCTAGAAGACATAAGACGCCAGAATTTGCGCGTTCCTATACCAGATACTCACGGTGTGTTGCAACAAACCGGCACCACTCGGAACTTCGTCTTCATGTCCCGTGTGCCGGGACAACCGCTGGACTCACTTTGGAAGATGTTGAGCCCCTACCAGAAAGCGTCGGTCTGAGAGCAGCCAGATGTCATCTTCAGTGACCTAAGGTCGCTCCCTTTTACACCATCCAACGAACCTGGTGCAGTGTACGGTGGAGACACGCCTCGCCGGTGTAAAGACACCAGAAGGGAGACTCGTGTGGCAGACACTCCGATCAGCAATGAGATGGAATTCAATCATTTCCTGTCATACAACCCTCGGCGTACTGAAACGAGCCAAATTGTGATGATTCGATCATACATGACAACTGGACACGAACTGGTGATGACCCATGCAGATCTTCATCCTTGAAACATCATGGTCACTGTCACCCCTTATTCATCTAGCCCCAACGAAGTCGATGGACAATGTCTACAGACATCCGAAGCCTTGACCGGTACAGATAACTTGCCGTCGAAGCGAGTAACAATTACAGGTATTATAGATTGGGAAACATGTGGTTGGTATCCAGAATACTGGGAGTACTTGAAAGCATTGAACACAATCTTTCCAGGATGCAATTGTGAGGATTGGTGGGAGTACTTGCCAAAAACGATCGGGATTTGGCCTAAGGAGCATGCAGTCGACCTGATGTTAGATAACTGGTGTCGGTGACCCGGCAATGGCATTTGGAAAACTGGCAATGGTATGCTCACACGGTAATGAATTAAATGATATGATCTGGGCGGAGCGGGAAGGTAATGTCTTCTATCATCTATTTTTATGCTTAGCTCAACTCTTGATCCCAGTCGTGAAAGAAGTGCAAAAAACCAACAGCAGCGTTTCTAGACCGAAGTAGTTCATCGCCAAGATGCAGATGTTTCATTGTAGTCTGATTAAACTTTCTGGCGCATCGATTCTAGGGTCGCTTTCGACCCGGGAGCAATATGCAGTAGTTCCGTCTGCTCCATCCCCTCTAAGACTTCCATGACCCATGCCTGGCAGTTCCAGGTGGCACTTTCATTATCGACGGGGTGGATTTGAATTATTGACAAAGCCAGGTCTTGTTCACCTGAAGGGATGGTCCCGCAGTACACTGCGTGCTTGATGCGTCTCGTTAGTTGAGGATCTCTGAGGATGGGCGCTTCCACGCAGTAGCCGTCCTTGTTGAGCCCAACCTGCAGAATAATAGACTTTGCGTTGGCATCTTTTATCCAAATGACCCAGTGGCAAGGCTCATCGGTCTCAGCCCTATACATGACCACCGTTATGACTGTTCATCATGTTTGTTCTATGAGGGATTATCAGTTAGATCTATCACCAGTCTTCCTAGTAGGGTGTTTTTGACTAACGGAGACATCATCGATTTAAAAATAAGAGACACAGCATAGGTTTTACTGTTTCGAAGGAGGTGAGAACGTAAGGGAGATGTTCATCCAGTCCGCAGGCTTGAATGGCTCAGAAGATAGGGAATGGATGAATCGAATGTGTATTGAATCTGAATGCGATTCCAACGCAGTATTATATTCAATGAATATAATTCAATTAGATATGATTACATCTGACTTCAAGCATTTCATTCACTCTAGACATCTCTAAGCCCAAACTACTCACACCACTATCACACTCTTTGATCCTGTGAAGAAACACTTTTGGCAGTTCGTCAGGTCATTGCACGAACGCAGTGCATATCACATACGTTGAACCATAGAGCCGTTGCGAGCTATCTCGGTACAGGCTGATTCTAGGTTTGAAGTCGATCTACGGAGGAACTAACTAGTGGATGTGAGAATCGGCAACTTCTTCCCGCCAAACCCCGCACGTCTTTCCTTCATGTCTTCCACACCACACCATCTCAACGATCGTCAATAACATAATAACCACTTCCAACTACAAACCTACATCATGAGTGCAAACTTCCCAAAGCCACACATCCACCTCCCCCAAGACCCTCACACCCACACAGCCATCCTCCTCCACGGCCGCGGCAGCAACGGGCCTGAATTCGCCGAGGAACTGTTTTCCTCTTCGACATCGGCGGGTCAAAATCTTCCCTCTCATCTCCCGACCTGGCGCTGGGTATTTCCCACCTCCAAAGACCGCTGGGACGATCGCTTCCAGGAGGAGCTAAGTGCCTGGTTCGAGGCGTATTCTCTAGATGATATCACTGAGCGCCAGGAGTCGCAAGTTCCTGGATTGCGGGAGTCTGTCTCTCATGTTCTTGAGGTCCTGGGGAAAGAAATCGAGCTTCTTCATGGTAAGACCACACATGTGTATCTAGGTGGGATTAGTCAAGGCATGGCAACTGCATTGTGGAGTTGGTTTTGCGCGAGTAGCAAGGTGAAGGGGAGATTGGGAGGAGTCTTGGGCTTCTGCGGATGGATGCCGTTTGCGGAGAGGTTTGAGGATGGGGATTTGGATCGGGGAAGACGGCTGGTTGAGTTTTGTTCGGAGGTTGTGGGGGTTTCTGCGGGTGAAGATATGAGATTCATGAATACGCCGGTGCTTTTGGGCCATGGCAGGGATGATCCGATGGTTTCTGTAGAGTTGGGGAGGCAGGTGACTGGGATTATGAAGCGGGCGGGGGTGGAGGTCGAGTGGTTGGAGTATGTTGGGGCAGAAGGGGATGGACATTGGATTAAGGCGCCGGAGGGATTTGATGCCATTTTGAGGTTTATTCGGTGGGGGAATGAGGGTGTGAATGGGTAGTAATAGAGATAGGTCTTGTCGTTACAGATAATTATGCCTAAATGTTGAAATGGGAACAAAAACTAGAAAAGAAGTGTATGATACAGTGCAACTGTTCACGCGTACCAATCCTCACAGAAGTCATCAACAGTTAACTCTCCTCGACCATCGCTCTCCGATCTTCTGATTCACCTGCCTCCAGAGCAGCCTTCTTTAATGCTTGTTCTCGTACTTTAATCATTTCCTCAATTTGATCACTAGGAACCCATCCCTCACTCCCTACTCCAATAAATTTCTGGCACATTTTCATCTGCTCTTCTACACCTTGTGCGCTTGTCAACCTCGGACATTGTTTCAACTCATATTGTGAATACACAAGTGTGCAAGGGTGTGCAATGCTGCCATTGGCGTCAACTCACTTGCGCGACCACTCAAAGAGGTTTGATTTAAGAGGCAAGTTATCACCATCCCATGGATTACTGGCGTAATGAAAGAGGTGTCTCAATCTACTAATAAACACCTCAGCGCATTGTAGAGTTTTGGATTTATCCCTGAAGTCTGCTGGACATAGTGGTAGTGAGGCTGATGTCTCTGGAATGAATTAGCCTGTCGGTCCTGTTCTTCTGATCCCAGCTCATTGAGGTTGCTGGGTAGGGTGGGCTCTTGAAGAGATTCGGACACATCATCGCTGTAGCTCTGTAGGCTGTTTTAGGAAAATGGGGAGTATGATGCTGTGCTGCCAGTTATTCAATCCTTCAAGATCCGATCAAACGGAGACAATGATGTTGTTCGGTGAAGATCGCGGGGTCGGAAGACTGAGCGATGAAGGCTTGGGACTTTAGGAAGGATACTGGGAGTAGTTTGAAGATACTACTTGAAACTTGCAATGTGGACGAGATGTGATTGCAGCTTAAAATTGTAAGTCTCCCTCCGAAGGCGCCTGAAGGGCTGAGAAGGGTTTTCCAAATCTGGAAAGGCATGCGATCTCTTTCTTAGCGCCCGCAATGCTCTAGAGCTGAGAGGCAGTCTGGGTCTGCAAAGTCTTGGCTACTGATCTCAAGTCAATCCCGAATGCTCATGGCAGCAATATTCACGTGGTCCACGCTCCACCGGTAGATTAACTCTTCTGTCGTACCCTAGTCTGAGCGACGTGTCGGGTCAATGCAGCATCGCCCTTTTGTAGTCGGCAACGAGTCTGTAATAACCATCTAACTACTGTCGGGCGCGTTAGAGCAATAATAGAAACTCCCACTTGCTAGAACCGCAGTGCAAATAGTCGTGACTTGATTCCCACAATTTCAGTGATGAGTTTCGTTCTCTGTTCTGGGGATAAATTGAACCATGCATCGCCCAGGCTCCGCCCCCTAACAAGCTCCATAGAAATGTGCTCCGTTCCCGAGGGATTGTCAGCACTAGCGGAATTGCCATAGACCTCTGGAACGGGTATGCCATGCGAACGGAGATACTCCACAGTAGCCACTTCGCTTGCAATGACTAGTTAGTTAGTTATTTAGTGACCGTGGCTGAGTCACTGGATATGAGATGAGGGCTGGAAATTTAAATTTGTCCCGCATGGTGATTAAGAAGGTCATATTGAAGCCTCCCTCGGCAAGCTTTGTATAGCCGATCACATCTTCCTGTTTCTGACGTTTAGATGAAGCTACTAAGCGCTTGAGCTTTGGGACATTGAATATCCGTTTCCTCTCCTCTGATCGAATGCGCCCATTGTAACTATACATGCCAGTCAGTCAGATTATTGCGAATTGTCAACAGTGCGCCTGGAGCATACATCCGACGCCCAATATTTGAACAGGTTGTAATTCAAAGGAGTAGAGCTGGTGAATTGATGGACTCTAAAGTGGCTTATCTTGTATTGCAAAAGCATGGGGCGAAATAGCCTGACGTGGGGGCCAAAACCCACGTTTTCCCATACGTTGATCTGGGGAGGATGTCGCCAGTCATGTTCACGGTGAGATTTTGGCTAACAGAGATTTTGGCAAACAATGATACATTCTGCATCTTAGGCAATGATTATGCGGCCGTAACCCGATGCGGAAGTAACTAGGAGCCTGCCGCAATAAGTAAAGATGATGTTGAAACTGTGCACGGATGGTGGAGCTGGTGGTCAGACGCGACGCAGCCTTAGGATTAGGATTTCCAGAACAATGGAACACGTAGTTCATTCCCTAATTCCAACTTTGATTGGCCTGTTCGGGTAGCTTACTGCATCTACTATTGGCCTGTTCGGATAACTCTGAGCACGGCCCTAAGTACCTTCTTGTTTCATAGGTAACAATGGTTGGTATCATACCTACCTCTAACTCAACGGCACAAAAGACAAGATAGAGAATATTATGGATGTAGTATCTTATGATATAGCTGAAATATGATTATATTTGTATCCCATCTTAGAGTATCTTCGTAGATTCACCAAAATATCCTCTGCCTACACATAAAAAACAACAGGTATCACTTTCGCGCTGCAATGAAAACAATAAAATAGGTAAAGAAAATGCACACGTGCGTAATCATGCTCAGAACAAAAAAAAACCGCCGCAGCTCACTACAGAACTCGACACATTACGCGACCTCAGTCTTCGGCTCAGAGTCCAACTGGGCCGGGGTCAGGCGCACAAAGTCAGGCTCAAGCACAGCCGACATACCCAAGAACATTGTGACGGCCATGGCAACAATCTCTTCCAGCACATCCATGACCAAGTAGATGGTGGGGCTTCCATTAGTGCTGATAATGGAGAACCGCTCGATAGTGGTGAAGTCGCCAATTGCTGCGTAGACAACGCGGACCAGGATGAAAGGCGTGGAGAGGATGATGGCGAGGAACAACTTCTTCTGGAAGGCCTTCAGGTGACCCATCTGGAGGTACATGAAAGCGGCTAGCAGATGATAGACCACGAATAGAGCGATAAAAATAGCCATGGATGCTTTGACGGTGTTGCTTGGCTGGTAGCTGCCGCCATCGTCACTTGCGGTACTGACTCCCGCAATACCGATGATGAGACCGATGATACCGACGATAGACACAATATTGAGCCACTTGACGGGCACCACTTGATTGACATCACTGATCGAATTGTTAGCGTCATGTGGATCTCTGCGACTAGTCCGAGGGGACTCACATTTGTCTGAGAACTCCGACATAGGTCAACAACAGAGGTGCGAGACCAATCAACTCGCATACTGCGATGGCAATCTCGACATCCTTGGAATCATGGTCGATCGACAACAGCGACGCGATACTACCGGCGATTCGAATGAGAGAGAGCGTAACAGGGTATCGCCAGATCTTGCTTCCAACCCTTAAGCCAGCCCGGCTCCATATGAAGATTGCAGAGCCGAGGATAAAGGGAAAGACAACAAGTTGCAGAATAGCAATGCCATCACGATAGGTAACAGTGCCCATTGTTGCTGTAGTTGTTGTTATAGATGATAAAATACTGCTAGAGATGAAGTGACAAGAAGAGGAAGAGTGGATAGGAAAGTGAGTTCTGTCTGGAATCTGAAAGACATGATATCTGTCTCTCTTTATATTGCTGAAGATGCTGTTGAGCGTTATAACCTAAAGAACACAGCCTTGTCGAAGAAATTGTCTGTTATACTTCAGAATCGACGAAACTGTCATCCTGGTTGGTTGAGCATCTACACTACCGGATAAGGAAAAGCGCGAGCGGGAAGGGAAGATAAAGTCAAGTGGAATTCCAGCTGAAACTCGGTTCACACAAACAGAAAGTCCAGTGCGGAACCATGGCTGCGCCCCAGCTACGAGTCAAGCGCCCTCACTGGCCGTGGGTCTTCCCGCATTCCTCCCTTTCTTTAAGCCGCTAAGGCGCCACGGCTGGCAATGCGGTGAACCCAGTGACGATCGTCTGCCTTTTCCTCCCAAAGTCCACAACAAGATGCCGTCGTCAAAATCTAGTAAGTGGGGGCGGTTTGGGTATCGGAGGAGGCTGAGTTTCTGCATCGTGGGTCGCCAGATTGTGCTCAGGATTGCCCAAAGAGTAGTAGTGCACGTGGCAAGGCATAGACACACAGCGCGGGGCGAGACAAGGCTGGCTAGAGGAGGAGAGCTGAGCTTGTTCAAGGGTTAAGCTCTTCAACGAAAACTGCTTAACCGACTTTAAGCCTCCTTTACCCGCGGTTCGTTAGTCAGCCTCAGCCCGGGGAGGAGGTTCTTTAACTTCATCACAATCCTCGGGGTTTACCCCTCTGACTCCCTTCTCAACGTATCCTTACGGCGCAGACAGCGAGAAATGGCATCGGGAAAAGCGCCTCGCCCAAGAGCCTCCCGCAATTGTGGAAACTGTCGGGCTGTGAAGCGACGTGTGGGTGTTCCTGTTTTTTGCTACTTTGCTTTTTCATCATTCGCGGCCGAATAAATGCTGACAGGGGCCGATCTCGGTTCAGTGCGACCAGCAGATACCCCACTGTGGACAATGCATCCGCATGCGAGAGAAATGTCCGGGCTATCGCGATGAATGGGAACTCGTTTTTCGCGACCAGACAGACAAGACCATCAAGCGATCTACAGAGAAACGAGCAAAACGCAATGGCTCGACAACCTCAAGCCGCACCCCTTCACCACCCACCCCTGGCTTAGGGCCCAGCCTAGACGAGATCGGTGTCAACTATTTCCTTCACAACTTTGTCATTAACAACCAAACTCCCTCGCGCGGGTTTTTCAACTATATCCCCGCGGTTTACAATACCGAGGCGGAGCATTACACACTGGTGACCAGCATGGCGGCGGTGGGCCTCGTGGCACTGGCTAATTCCAATCAACAACCCGAGCTGGCTCGGCACGCACGCATCAAATACTCCGAGGCGATTGCGAATGTCAACACGGCATTGGCGTCACCTATTGATTCGGTCAAAGACAGCACCCTGATGTCTGTCATCTCGCTAGGGGTATTTGAGCACGTCTCCAATTTCCAGTCGTGGGTGCGACATGTTCGAGGAGCTGCCGCACTGGTGGTTCTCCGCGGCAAGAGCCAATTCACTAGTACGGCCGCAACACTCATGTTCAACCAAGTACGCGCAGACACGGTGATCACTTGTCTACACGGCAATCAACCGTTTCCGGAGGACTTGCTGGCGCTGCAGGCAGAGGCGTCCAAGCACGCCGATGCTTATAGTCCATTCTGGCTCCTCGGAGTATCAGCTACCAAGTGTGTAAACCTCCTCTACAGCGTCACACAGAACAAATCGAAAGTCTCGTGGTCCGAAAAGCTGGAAGAGGCGATCATCCTCCAGGAAGAGTTTCGGCGCGTCTTTGAAATTATCAGCCTAGCAGACCCATACACAACAATCTATGAGCCAACAGCAGACCCCGAAGTCTTTCACGAGGGGCGATTTGACGTCTACCAATCCACCTGGGCGATACGAGTCTGGAACAATGCGCGATGCATCCGGATGATCGTCTCCGAGATTTTATATTCCATTTTGACGAAGGTTTTGGCCACCGAACTCCCTTCAGCGGTGCGAATGACTCTGGAAGCGAAGTACCAAGAGACAGTACAAATCATGACAAGTCTCGGGGAGGACATGCTAGCTACCGTTCCACAGATGCTAGGTTATGTATCGCTCGTATCTGGGCAACATGTCTCTTATAGTTTAACGTCGACTGCTAGCGTTCCAGGCGGTTATTCTTTGATCTGGACCCTCTATATGGTTGGAAAGTCTCCCGTCACCAAACGCAAATCCAGAAAGTGGGTCATCCGCCGTCTTCAAGACATTGGGCGAGGCGCAGGTTTCGCAATGGCCCTACAACTCCTAGAGGGCGTTATGAAGATTGATCAACTCAGCGAAGCGTCAGTCCAGCGATCTGGACCGTATTTTGAGCCCACTCGCTTATGAGTGACAAGGTCAATCAATGATCTGTTATGAATACATGTCAACACGTGATATCACTGCCCCGGCGTCAGTCTTTACTTTCTTTGGCTTCGTAAGTTATGCCTGGCGCATAGTTCACATGGCCACAATGCAAATGGTTTGTTCCATAGTATATTTTATCAGTGCACATAGGAATGAATGACTTCATTAAAAAATGGAAAAACATACAACAGAAGGGATTCGCTGGTGGTCACCCACCCAACTACTAACCTCCCGGCGTGTGGCTTAAGTACGGCTGAGCGGACGGGAAGCCCTGTTTTCCACACCCTATGGTCGTATGTATTTGGAATAATTTTGGAAAGGGTTATATGCTCCTTTTCCCTGTTACTAGCCCATGTTTGACCCTGCAATCACCACGGTAGACCACGGTGGAGGCAACGGGATCGAAGACCCACATATTGCTGCGGAAAGCAAGATCACATTGGTCGCTCTACACTGATGATAAATCTACTGCCTCGTATCAGTCTTCATCTCTAGTCCAGCGATTACACAGGATATTATGGAACGCTGAACCTTATCTTATCAAGGGTGGTTGATATCCCCAGCGGAAACGGCAAGTGGCTCCGCGGGACCTTCCAATCCGGCAAGTCTTGCTGCAGCTCGCATTCCTCCACTGCTGCAGGCTGGAGTATAATCCGGAGGCTGTGTTTACCCTGGACTTCACTTATCAGACTAGGTGACATTTCAGACTATGGGATGTATTTGGGATACTAAGACGCCCATAACTTATTCCATGTGCTACAGAGCGTGAACAAGGGTGAAGGAAAGCGTGAACACCACCCAATGTAACAGCCTATGCTACAGAAATCCCTCTTAATTCTCAACTCATCAA